GCCCTTTTGATTTTGAGTGATTGACCATTCCTTGGTGAGCAAACATACCTTAGTGTTGTGTATACCTGTTTACTTCTGGGCTGAAAATGGGGCCAAGAGAGTGAGTTCCTTTCCAGAGCTGAATGGTAGTTGAGGGCCATAGTCTCCGGTTCCTCCAGCCTCTTTATAACCAATCAGCTCAGTCTTCTTTCTTCTTTTTTAATAAATAATTTAGATTTTTCTTGTACATTTTCTGCCCATCTATCCTGAACGTTCTAATGTGATCTCTTTCCGAGCAGTTGGTAGCGGTAGCTGGGCACCATTTAGTTCTTCTGGTCTCAGAGTCATGGTGTCTGGCGTTCATAAGTCACTCTTACTACCTTCAGAGTGTCCCATTGTTTCACTTTGGCTTCACCTCCTTCCCCCAAGTGGGAGGCGGTGGTTAGCTGCTGTTGTGCCAGTTCCGAATCATGGCAAGCCCTTGTGTTACACTGTAAAACGGCTCCTTAGGGTTTTCCTGGATGTAATCGTAGCTCTCCATGGTCCTGCTGGTGGGGTTTGAAACACCAGCCTTCACATTGGCAGTTGAATGCAAACCATTTGCACCCCCGAGGGAACTTCTCCTTCCTAGGGAAGAGTGGAAAGGTTCCGTGGAAGAGGGGAGCAGGATGTGGCAAGAGTTAACTCCTGGAGGTTTTCCTATAAACCTTCAGCTGGTTCAGGCTTTCGTGGTTCTTCCAGACCTTATTCTGCTTTAGGTGTGCAGATAGGAAAAGATTCGGGCAGCGTGGTGGACCACAAGCTCCTGTTTACGAAATGACTTGCTACTGCTATGTGTGCATGAGGCAGCTTCCTGTTACGTGTGTACGAAAAAGAACGATTAGAAATCATGAATTAGTCTTGCGTGTATTCATTGCCTCTGCTTATCTGAACAGTTGGTTTTATTTCAAGTGGTGACCTTTTCTCATTTCTTGTGGTTGTATGTCCTGGGCCCACCTCCCACTGAGTATTTGAAACATTTCTGTGTTCTTTTTGTTCCTGAACCAACTGCTTTCTAGTATGAAGAATGGGAGATCGTGTATGGTGTCTTTTGCTCAGCCAAATCAGAGGGACAGATGACAAATGGCTTGTAGCTGCAAAGAAAGGATGAAAAGGGTTTCTCAGACTGTAGAGACACAGGCTGGGTGGGGTGATTCATGATTCATGGTCCTGCGTCCTGGAGTATTCGGTAAACACTCATCCACAAACTTGGATCAAATGGGTCTAACTGTGGATCTCAGAGATGCTGTATGAACATTCACTTCACAGATGAGATTTGATGCATTAAAAAAAAACTTCACATTTAGGGATTATTGACCAGTGGGTTGATTCTTAAGTGGGTAGATTCTCTTGCACATGGATTTTTCATTCTTCAAAATTTTTAACGTTAGATGCATGGTTTTATTTGAAAGAAAATCATAAACCATACACTTTGGGAATGGGCACAACTTCAGGTTGGCATTTTCAGCACATGGCCAATCTGGAAACGTTGGTTTGTCACCGGCATGTCATTTTGCTCGCCTCTAGCATGATGCTGGGTATCTGTTTTTGCGGTCTGGTCTGGCAGGTACCTCTTTGAGAGTAACTGATCGTCCAGAGGAAAACATGAGTGATGTGGCTACTTCTGCTCTGTGTTAGCCAAGACACCCGTGGACAGAAGGCAGTGTGTCACCCGCTCCCACCAACCCTTTCCTCTCTAGCAGTTATTTTACCTAATTTTCAGAAGTGTTTGTGCGTGTCCCAAAGCAAATTAATTTCCTGAGAGTGACTTAGTACTTGTAGATGCAAGCTTTTACACTGGGATGAACAGTTTGTCATGGGAAGAATTGTACCTTGACCCAGGTCTAAGTACTTTCTCCTGGAAATGCATGGATTTTTATAGACTCTTCAAGAAAAAAAATCATTCCATGCGTGAGTAAAATGTGACAGATGTTTATGCAGATTTTAAGGAGAGATAGTGTAGTAAATATTAGAAAAGAAAGAATACCAGAACCCCAAATCCTCTGCTATTTAGTCATTTCTGACCCACAGCAACCCGCCAGGACGGAGGAGAATGGCTCCTGAGGGTTTCCAAGGCTGACAGTCTTTTATCTAAGCAGGCTGCCTTATCTTTCTTCCACAGAGTGGCTGGTGGATTTGAACCACTGACCTTTCTGTCATTTGCCACATGCTTAGCCCACTGTACCACTATGACTTGTCCAGTCTAAGAATTGCTCTTGTTTTGAAGTGCCGTTGAGTCAGATCTGACTCTTAGCGACCCTGTATAGGGTTTCCAAGGAGTGGATATTGAGCTTGAACTGTCAACCTTGCAATTCAAACCAACCTTTACAGTCCAGCGCATTAGCCTGATCCTTCCGGTGAAGGAGGTTGCTTAAAGTCAGCCATCACCAGGTCCCCTTCCCACATGGGTTGCAGCTGGCTTGGTTCCTTTCTCTTACCTTACTGTGTCTGCTCCTCTGTTTCCCGTCTCCTCCTGCCAGTGCTTGCCTGCTCTTTAGAATGAAGGAGCAGATTCAGGGATGCCCTGACTTGTAGAGTGAGGATCTTGGACCTCTCATGTGGCTGGCGAAGCCGATTCGCTAAATCCAGCATCCTGGTTTCTGACTTGAGTTAGTTCTTTGGCATTTGTGGTGTAGATTTGAGCAGACATTGCCTGTCTTCAGGCAGCTTACAGGTGAGTAGGTAAGAAGAGGACAAGTACACACTGTGTAGGTGCTGTTGAGTCAGTTTTAACACACAGCAACCCTGTGTACACTGTAGGACGTGCCAGAAGGCAGTAGCTCTTTAGGTGGTGTGTTCGAGGGGTGGTTCTGGAGAGAGAAAGCCTTGCCCTGTGGTGGATGCTTTATCTGACCTCACATATCACTAGTGTTGCTCAGGTGGAGTGAAAGGCCCTGTTCGAAGTCCCCAAGCATCATCTATAACATCCGTCATCTTTAGCGATGACTGTGATTGTTCATTTTCTTACAGCCCTTCTTCCTAATACCCAGGGCTTGTGCATACATTCCTGGTAGTCTTTGTACCCTGCTCTAGTCCAGATGCCATAGTGTGCTTTTGTCTCTGGCTCTGTCCTGGCCTCAGGTCCTGCTCTAACTTGCCAACAGTCATTCGCTGGCAGGATCTCCTCAGCTGTTGGAGCCCCTGGCGCAGCTGTGTAGGGTGAGTGGTAATTAGAACACAGATGTCTGGTACTTTAACCACTAATATGAGCTAGGAAGACAGAAGGAAGGAAAAGACTCAATTTTTTTCTGCCAGAAGATGTTAGAATTAAGTTAGGATTTTAATTGGGGAAACAATGGGGGGAATTAGGATTAAATAAAAATGGGTGGAATCAGAAAATTGGGAATTTTCTGTAATAAAAATCCCAGGTGGAACTTTATTAGCAGCTGTAGGTGATGTCCTGTGCCGAGTTCCATTCTCGTTTCTTTTGTGGATGGATATTGAAATCTGTAATTAGTTCTTTGTAATATTAAGTAGGGGGTGGGGCTTAAAAATTTCCTAGAAAAATGCAATGAAAAGATATTAGAATTTCTCCATGAACTTTTTGAAATCCACTCCTATTTCTTTTCATGCATCCCCCCCCCCCGAAAACAGACAAATAAACAACACACGTGATACAATCAAATCTGATGTGACTCTGGGAAAGATTACTTTTGCCAGTAGGATTAAATCCTGTAACAGTTAAAATATTTTTGCAAGTAGCTTTTATGAAAAGAAGTATGATGAATCCAGTGATAAAGTAACCCATTTTCTACTTGTTATGCCAAAACCTGCTTGGCTCTACCACAGTTTAAATCACCTTGATTGTGGTTAGGTAGATAGGAGCTAAGCCGATAGTGCTGTTGTTGTTAAGTGCTGACCCCATGTGACAGAACAGAGTTGCCCCCATAGGGTTTCCTAGGCTGTGGAGCTATACAGTAATGCACTGGCCTGCAATGTCGGTTCGGACCGCAAGGTCTGTGGTTCAACTCACCAGCAGCTCCTTGGAAACCCTATATAGAGTTGCTGTGAGTTGGAACCGACTTGATGGCACTCGACAACAACAACAGTCTTTATGGGGAGCCCTGGTGGTGCAGAGGTGAAGTTTCCCGATGCTGACTGAAACAGTATTCTTTACAGGAGCAGATTGTCTGGTTTCTACTGGGAAGCCGCTGAGCAGATTCTAACCTCCAGCCTTTTAGCTAGCAGCTTTTCCATCAAATAACCCAAGCTCCTTATGCTGGTAACTCTCTGCAGCATTTTGGAGGAATTGCTCTCGAAGCTCTAATAATGAACGTTTCCACTTGTTCTGTGGATGTTTGTTCACTGACTCAAGTTTTTGTTGTCGTGTAATGGAGGCCTGGTATGACTTCCTGGGAGACAGCACTGGACCACAAGATCGACTTGAACCGCAAGGCCAGCAGTTCACACTTACCAGCCGCTCCTCAGAAACCCAATACAGGGTCGCTATGGGTTAGAACCAACTTGATGGCACTTAGCAACAACAATATTATATTATCAAGATACAATATAAAATTTTATTTTACAATTATGTTGACATTAAGTGCTGTTGAGTTGGTTCTGACTCATAGTGACGCTGTATAGGATTCCTGAGGAGTGGCTGGTGAGTTTGACCCACTGACCTTGCGGTTCAAAGGACTTTGCAGTCCAGCTCATTAACCTGCAGCACCACATCAGGCCTCATAGTATAACATAAAATAAAAGGAGTCCTGGTGTGATGCTGTAGGATTAGTACTGGATTGTGAAACCACATGATCAGCTGTTCAAACTCACCAACCGCTCTTCGGAAACCCTGTACAGGGTCGCTGTGAATTGAAACTGACTCGAAGACACTTAACAACAACCTAATATAATAAGTATAGTTACCCACGAAATCTTTCTGGGTAGTCATCACTTTGTTATGTAAGTCTTGCCAGGACTATGGATCGCATCTTTAACACCATGTTACTTGCTGATGAAATTATTTTCTGTTCCTTTAACAGAACGTCTGATCAAATTCATGACCATGGGGGATATGAAGACCCCAGACTTCGATGACCTCCTGGCAGCCTTCGACATCCCAGATATGGTGGATCCTAAAGCAGCGATTGAGTCCGGGCATGATGACCACGAGAGCCACATCAAACAGAACACCCATGTTGATGACGACTCCCACACACCCTCCTCTTCCGACGTGGGTGTCAGTGTTATCGTTAAGAACGTTCGGAACATTGACTCCTCCGAGGGTGTGGAGAAAGACAGCCATAACTCCACAGGCAACGGCTTACACAATGGGTTCCTCTCAGTGTCTTCTCTTGACAGTTACGGTAAAGACGGAACCAAGTCTTTGAAAGGAGATGTGCCTACCTCAGAGGTGACTTTAAAAGATTCGACATTCAGCCAGTTTAGCCCCATCTCAAGTGCTGAGGAGTTTGACGATGATGAGAAAATAGAGGTGGACGACCCCCCAGAAAAGGGGGAAATGCGCACCAATTTTAGATCCAATGTGTTGACGGGATCCGTTTCCCAGCAGGACTATGACAAACTCAAGGCACTTGGAGGGGAAAATGTAAGCAAAATGGGAATCTCTGCTTCAGGCAATATAGAGAAAAACAAAGTTGTTAAAAGAGAATCAGAAACCAATTCCATAAATCTGAGTGTTTACGAACCTTTTAAAGTCAGAAAAGTGGAGGATAAACTGAAGGAAAACTCTGAGAAGGTGCTTGACAACCAGAAGGTACTAGATGGGAAGCTGGGCTCCGAGAAAAGTGACAGCAACCTGGCCGTCGGGGTCGCCCTGTCAAAGACCAAGTCGTCCTCCAAACTCTCATCATGCATAGCCGCAATTGCAGCACTTAGCGCTAAGAAGGCGGCTTCAGATTCTTGTAAAGAACTGGTGGCCCACTGCGGGGAGTCCTCTCCATTAGCAAAAGAAGTCAGTGATAGTCCCGTAGCCGTGGAGAAGTCTCCAGAGTCGCAGAGTCTCATCGATGGGGTGAAGAAAGCAGCCCTAAAGCAACCTGACAGCCCCAGGAGCGTGTCCAGTGAAAACAGCAGCAAGGGCTCACCGTCCTCTCCCGCAGGGTCCACACCAGCCATCCCCAAAGTCCGCATAAAAACCATTAAAACGTCCTCTGGGGAAATTAAGAGAACAGTGACCAGAGTACTGCCGGAAGTCGACCTCGACGCTCGAAAGCCTTCGGAGCAGACGAGCTCTGTCATGACGTCCCTTCTGTCGTCTCCAACCTCGGCCGCTGTCCTCTCCTCTCCTCCCAGGGCGCCTCTCCAGTCGGCGGTCGTTTCTAATGCTGTCTCCCCTGTGGAGCTGACACCTAAGCAGGTCACTATTAAGCCCGTGGCCACTGCCTTCCTCCCTGTTTCTGCCGTGAAGACGGCAGGGTCTCAAGTCATCAATCTGAAGCTGGCTAACAACACAACGGTGAAAGCCACGGTCATATCTGCGGCCTCTGTTCAGAGTGCCAGCAGTGCCATCATCAAAGCTGCCAACGCCATCCAGCAGCAAACCGTTGTGGTGCCAGCATCCAGCCTGGCCAACGCCAAACTCGTGCCAAAGACTGTGCACCTTGCCAACCTTAACCTCCTGCCTCAGGGTGCCCAGGCCACCTCTGAACTCCGCCAAGTGCTAACCAAACCTCAGCAACAAATCAAGCAGGCAATAATCAATGCAGCAACCTCGCAACCACCCAAAAAGGTGTCTCGGGTCCAGGTGGTGTCGTCCCTGCAGAGTTCCGTGGTGGAAGCTTTCAACAAGGTGCTGAGCAGTGTCAATCCAGTGCCAGTTTACATCCCCAACCTCAGTCCTCCTGCCAACGCAGGCATCACGTTACCGACGCGTGGTTACAAATGCTTGGAATGTGGAGACTCCTTTGCGCTAGAAAAGAGCCTCACCCAACACTACGACAGACGGAGCGTGCGCATCGAAGTGACGTGTAACCACTGCACAAAGAACCTCGTTTTTTACAACAAGTGCAGCCTCCTGTCCCATGCCCGTGGGCACAAGGAGAAAGGTGTCGTGATGCAGTGCTCCCATTTGATTCTAAAGCCAGTCCCAGCTGATCAAATGATCGCTTCCCCACCAAGCAATACTTCCACTTCTGCTTCCAGTCTGCAGAACTCAGTGGGAGCTGGCACACACACGGGAACAAAAATCCAGTCTGGCATCACTGGGACAGTCATATCTGCTCCTTCCAGCACTCCCATCATTCCAGCTATGCCTCTTGACGAAGACCCGTCCAAATTCTGTAGACATAGTCTAAAATGTTTGGAGTGTAATGAAGTTTTCCAGGACGAGACGTCTCTTGCTACCCATTTTCAGCAGGCAGCAGATACAAGTGGACAAGTAGAGTATCGTTTACATTGGCATTTCTCTGAGGGGTCTGTCGACAGCAGTACTCTATTAAGATATCTTCCATCTTGGGGATGGAGAGCTTATGTGTGGGCATGAGTGTGTACAAGAGAGGGAGAAAAGTCTTGTGTTTAAAGAATAGAAACAGTGTTGAAACGTGAATATAGTTTTTTTTTTAAAAAGCGCACTCTGGGGGAAGGCGAATCTTTTGGATACAAATCAGATGTGCTAGCTGCATGCTTAATTGAACCTTTGGCTTAGGGTAACTAAACGAGGAAGAGACCCAATGAGATGGGTTGATACATTGGTAACAACAGTGGGCTCAAACACAGTGCGGATGGTGCAGGACTGAGCAGTGTTTTGTTGTGTTGTGCACAGGGTCACTGCGAGCTGGAACAGACTCAGGGTATGTAACAACAAAGGAGCTCTCAGCTGTTTTGTCATGGGAACAGCTAGTCTGAGACTTAGTTTACCATTAGCTCATCGCATTGTTTTAAGTATCTAAGGCTACGGCACCCAAGTTCAGAGCTACAAGTGAAAACTTCTGGAGAATTTAAAAATTACTGTTGTTATATGTAGTTACTGAAAAGTCTTTTTAAAAAATAATTAAATGTACCTAATTGGTACCAAACCACTTTTATAGTGGCTAAAAAATATTTTTAGATTGGAATAGTCATCACAGCAGTGAATTTACACTACAAATGAATGGGAAACCCATCCCCATTGAAATGGGATGCTGTCATGTTTGTGGCATCTAATGTTGTAGTGAAGTGCATGTTAATGATGGTGAAATGCGGTTCACAATGAGCACTGGCTCTTTGTCTCTGTAACTTGCTTATTTCCCTGAGGCAACTGAGTTTTACAAATAGATGGACTCCTGGTGTGGCCTGTGGCATAAAGCTCTGGACTGCAAGGTCAGTTTGAACCACACTGTTGGCAGTTCAAACTCACCAGCTGCTCCTTGGAAACCCCTTACAGGATCGCTATGAATTGGAACTGACTCGATGGCACTTAACGAAGTAACCAGGCATGTTGAATGTTTAACAAAACAAGTTGGAACCAGGGAGACCATCTGACTCATTATCCAAACAAGGATACTTGGAAATGGAAATGGGGTGCTAGTTTGAGCTAATTGTACCCTGGCTGGCCGTCAGAGTCGTGTGTGTGAAGGCACAGGGGTGGATTGGTGCTCCCTTTTCCTCCTCCAGTGGTGTCTTAGTTTAGGAGCGTTCTGCTGCCTTCTAGAAGTTTGGCGCACTGCCTTGGTGATGTGTTCCTCAAGAGCAACGAAAGAGTTAACTTCTTTGTGGGATTTTGAGTTTGGGAAATAGAAGATCAAGAATACCTCAAGAAGTTATTTCTCTGGAATTTTCAGTTTAGGAGAGCTGGAACTCATAAGTAGTTTTGACATCTTTAGTGCAACTTTGGATGTTAAATGTCCCATTGGTTCTGACAATGAGTACTCCAAGACAAGAGTGAAGCAACTAAATAGCCCCAGAAAGCAGAGACTGCTGTGGTGTGTGACAGTGATAATGCATGGAGTCTGCCTAGCTGGATAGCCTGTTGTCTTGTCACCACTGCATTAAAAAGGCTAGTGTTTCTTTTCATCTCAAAAGGATGCAGTTTTAACAAAAATACGTTATCTATTGAGTTTTCTGCTTGTTCTGCTGACCCTGCTTTTGGGTCTGCTGTATTGATGAGGGTGGGAGGTCATCGACTGTGTCCTGGCTTACCAGGGGATCTCCCTCACCTCACCGGCTGTGGGCTCTCATCTGTGTCTTCCAGCTTTTGGGATCACCCTCAGATGCGCCTGCCCTCTACTTCCTTTATATGGGCAGAAATGTAGGAGCTGGCTGTCTTCACTCCATTCCTCCAGTTTTTGTTTTCTGTTACCCTGTTAGGCTCAGCTGCCTAACTGGGGCCACACGAGTGCATTTGTTTCAGCCCTCAGGGAAGGACGTGGATGTCTATTCTTGGACTGTATATCCTGTTGCTTTCTTGGACTTTCGTGTCTTTTTCCGGACACATGAAATGTGCAGGCTGGCTATGTCACCTTGAATCCTGAGTGGTGAGTCATGGCAGAATATACGTGAACTCATGGCCAAGCAGACAGTGAGCCAGACATTTACCCCGGCTCTTTCTCCTGTCTCCCGTTACGCTTCACTAAGTCATCTGCTCTGGTAGCGTAGTGGTTATGAGTCCAGCTGCTAACTTCAAGGTCAGCAATTCAAAACTATCAGCCATCCCACGAGAGAAAGATGTGAGGCTTTCTGCTCCTCTAAAGATTTATAGCCTCGGAAACCCTATGCAGGGCTGCTATGAGTCGGAACTGACTCCATGGCACATAACAACAACAACAAGTCATCTGCTCAGAGCAGAGTGTGCCAGCTGCAGAGCCAGGTATGGCTGGGCTGTTGTTGTTAAGTGCTATTGAGTCGGTTCTGATTCACAGCGACCCTAAACGGGGTTTCCGAGGAGCAGTTGGTAGGTTTGAACCATCGACCTTGTGGTTCTCAGTCCAGTGCTGATCCTACAGCACCACAGCTGGATTAGCAACATAAAAACGCCCACAGAGCCCTTCCTGTAGCTTATTTCCTCGTCTCTCATTATAAATCACAGTACAGTCAGCTCCAGATGGGAAGTCTGGTTTCTCACTCAGCCTTGTCGCATCCTGGGATGGATGCTGCTGCTTCAGAACTCACAGTTCTAGGAGGCCATCAATTGTCATGGCAACCTCGTATATCAGAGTAGAACTGTGCTCCTTAGGGTTTCTCATGGCTGATTTTTTTGGGAAGCAGATCACCAGAACTTTCTTCTGTGGGGACTTGACTTTTTAAGTAGTTGAGTTCTTAATCGTGCCACGCAGGGGCTGTTTATATGAATGCTGCCTTTACACAAATGAATTGAGACCGGTTTCCTCTCATTTTTGTGGAAGAGGTTATGTATACAGACACACCTTGGCGATAGTGTGGGTTTGGATCCAGACCGCCACAGTAAAGCAAGTATCACCATAAAGTGAAGTTGCAAGGGTTTTGTGGTTTTCCCCAGTGCATATAAAACTTATGTTTGCACCATACTATACTCTATGATACGTGCAGTTAGAATTATGAAAAAGTTGGAAATATTGTGACAATGACTAAAATGTGACACAGAGGCACAAAGTGAAGCACATGTTGCTGGAAAAATGGTGCGGACAGACCCGCTGGACGCAGTGTGACCACAGGCCTTCATCAGTTTGTGAAAAACGCAGTGTGCAAAGTGAAGCACAGTAGAATGAGGTATGTCTGTAATTGACATTAATTATTCTTTAAGCGTTTGCTAGAACTCCCCAATGGAGCCGTCTGGGCCTGGGGATTTCTTTTTTGGGATTTTGAAGTAAACCAACTGGATTAAAGGTGGGGCTCATTACCATCTGGCAGGGAGCCGAGTCCCAACCCTTGCCTGAGGAGCCTAGGGACCCTTCTGTACCATCTGGACTGGGCTGTTGGGAACCTCATAACAGACTCCAGCGGGCGAAAGTCTAACCTCCCCCAAGACTTAGCACCCATGGGCACAATGTTTCCTGTGTTGTTTGGCATAGAGTTCGCATTTGCATGGCTCCTTTTCTGTTTTTTTGGCTTGAGAGTGCAGGATTGTGTTGGAATTATTATTTTATCTGTGACTCGTTGTTTAAATGTTGTAGAGTCAGTTCCAACTCACAGCAACCCTGTATAGGATTTCTGAGGAGCAGCTGGTGGGTTTGAACTGCCAACCTTGTGTTTAGCAGCCCAGTGCTTATTCTACAGCACCACACCAGGACTCTTTATCTGTAACTTCTTGTTGTTGAATGCCGTCGAATGGGTTCCTACTCATAGTGACCCTATGTAGGGTTTCTGAGGAGTACTTGGTGGTTTGAACCAGACTGACCTTGTGGTCCAGTGCTTATCCTACAGTGCCACACCTGGACTGTTGCCCATTAAAGGAGCCCCAAGGTGATGTGAGTTAAACATTGGGTGGCTAACTGGAAGTTTGGAAGTTTGAATGTGCCCATTGCACTGTGGAAGAAGAGGTGGCAGTCTGCTTCCAGAATGATTGTTGCTGTTAAGCGCTGTTGAGTAATTTCTGACTCATAGCGGCCCTCCAGAGGACTTCCAGGGTGGATTTAACCACTGACCTTGCTGATCCTCCAGCGCCATACCAGGATTTCTCGGAAGCTCTATGGAGCATTGCTGCTATGCCTTGTAGGCTCTCTGTAAATTGGACGCGACTCAATGGCAGTGACTTTGGTATAGTATTGCCTGTTGGGTTGCTGTCTTCCTCTGCTCCAAGTCTGGGGTACATGAGGCAAAGTGAAATCTTTGTGTTATTCTGAGGTCCCAAGGTCCCAATCCAGCCTGCCTTGTCTGCTTTTCAGGGCTAACGTATGTGTGTTTTATTTCAAATGCTCAGGGTTATGTGTGGTGGGAGAGCAGGGAGAAGGTCATTACCTCATCTTTCACTCCATTGTTTGTAGGCGTCGTGATATAGAGGACACGCAGAGGCCAGGGCTGCATTCTGATGCACTGTCTGAGGCTCTAGACAGTGATTCTCAGTGGAGTTTTGGGGTCAGGCTTCCTGTGGGTATGGATGCCATCATGCTCTGAGGTTTCCCGCTGTTCTCTGGATGCAGGTGTTTTCTCTGCTCAGATTGCATATTCCCTTTCCTAGCCCCGCTCTGGGAACCCTGGTGGTGCTGTAGTATAGCGCTGAGCTGCTAACCTAGTGGTTAGCAGTTCAAACCCACGAGCCGCTCTGCAGGAGAAAGGTAAGCCTTTTCATTCTGCTCTGGTAAAGATTTACAGCCTCGGGAATCCCTGTATAGGGTCCCTGTGAATCGGAACTGATTCATAGGCACCTGACAATAAAAGCCCGTCTCTGAGAGCAGGGAGGAATGAGAATCTCCCCTCCGTTCTCATCTGTGGAGCCCACTTCCAAGCCCTTCCCTGGAGAACAACCTTTTCTTGATGTATTAGCTC